AACTTATTAGTTTGAAACGTAGTGTCAAATGATATAGCATCTCCGAAACATGCGTAATCCATGATAGACTGTCCGTCTGCCCAAAAGAAATTAGCAATCCGACCATCTTTCTCATCTACTTGAATGGCATAAAAAAATGTTGGATCCTCTCTCTGCTTATTTTTCAAGTATTCTAGAAGTGTTTGTGAATCATTTGATTCTAAGTACTTTTTGCGCTCACGACCAATCTCGTTATTGCAGTCCATCTTTGCGAATGGCACTTTGTCTGGTCCTCCGTAAAACGCTACCATGAAGTCATACACCTGGGATGGCTTCATTCCGGTTTCCCGTATCTGGACAATTAGATGTCTGTCTGCTTCTATAACACGTCGTTGGGACCTCAGTTTGTGCACCTTATTGGGACTAGCAAGATAATGATTATGATCGGTTACAACCTTTTGCACCGTCCAAATCTCCTCTCTGCTAACACTGAACTGAATACGGGCATTGCAATCCGTCCTTGTAGTGTCCTTCGACGACTCGGTTTCTCGATGGCCTTGGTTACTGCAAACAATTCTTTTTTGATATATAGTACCATCATGTCGACGCTTTGTCTGGTTCTTTCTAATACTAAATCCAACTTTGCCAGCATATGTGTTATACATGTCATAGGCGTCTTTCTCTGACTCAAACGTTTTCCCAACTTCGGGAACCTGCAGTACACATAGTTCAAAGTTAAATTTTCTATTACCACAATGCGATGTGAAAAGATAAATTTTGCTTGAATTTGAGCCGAGAGACCGCCGTACCTGAATTGTTTGCTCTCCATTTTCTCCACGACCATCCGTAACTGTGTCATCTTGCTGGCCTCCTCCTGACATGACTTGTGGCGGCGGCAAGTCCATGGTGCATGTCGTGGCTTCTGACATCGTATACGACGGACGGTACAATTTGGACCAGCGACTGTTGTCATCAACGAGGTTTACATGGTGCAAGCCAGAGGTAGAACCACCATGGTCGTCGTTCCAGGCGACGGTGTGAGATTCCGGCATGGCCACAACCGACCTTCTCGACGACAGCTCTGCTTCAGATTGCGGCAGCACGGCCAGTGGCGGCCGTGGCTGTCCTTCTAGCCCGATCCCGTCATGCAAGGGAGAGGGCGTGTTTCGACGGCCGGCGGACATGGCTATCGTTCCTCCTGCTGCAGTGAGCGTCGGGCCAGGGAACTGGCGGCTAGTCGCATCGCCTGGAGGGCACCGTTCCGGTCGCTCAGCCATCAGAAATTCTCGATTGGATTGATGGAGGATTGGAGGCGGACAAGGCTGCAGCTACGCATCTGATCGGGGCTATGATCTGATCGGAAGCAATCACGTAACTATGGGAGCCAATATCGCACGTACATGTTTAGTTTTGGAGCCGAGCCATACGCATGCGTGCAGCGATTGAAGCCGAGCTGCGTATCGCTTGGACAAAATTGAGGACGCCGTGTGATTGTCCAGCTGTACACGTGGCAGCAGATGACGTCCGGGTTGCAAAGGATGAGGTTTGCAACCGGTATGCACGGAATTTTTTTCCCGTTCCTACGCTGCGGAATGGCTGTCCGCGTCAGTTTGGTCCACCTTATGAAGATCCACGGCTTGATAATTTTTCTCACGAGCGGGCGCATCTCATCAACATAACCCAGAAGATGACCGTGCCAGTGATCCATCCTCATGCTTCTTTGGAAGATTTGGGATGCTGGGAACGCGAAAGCATTTCGCCATATCTGACACTCGCTTCGCCACCTCTATATGACCTATGGGCCCAGTTCTTTCCAGCTTTTGATTCTCTAGAGTTAGATCCTGGGAAACTGCGCACAGAATCTACGGTCCATTTCTTTTCTGAGATCATAGTATGAGATTGTGGTATGAGTTGTGTGCTGCAATGTTTATAATGTCCCTGGGTTGAAATCTGGTGTCGAATTGTTAATGCTTGGTTGTTCCGAACAGTTTCTTGCTGAATATGAGAATGAAAAAGATTTAGGAATATCCTCTAGCACCATTCACCATTGACAGCAGCAAATAATTGGGGCATATTAGCAGCATTCACCATTCATAGTAGCAAAAAAATTGAGACATACTAGGAAATTCACCATTCACATTGAGAGAAGTCCTTATTTGGCCATTTCTTTAAATTTGCTTCCCTTTTTGGCCCAAAGTTTTGTTCTCTTCCAATTTTGACACTCAAACTTTATTTTGATCCATATGTGACACTTCAGCCATTTTTGGCCAATAACGGTGTTAAGTCTAAGCTCAAAAGACTGTTTTACCCCTAGTGTAGTATGTGACGAGATTCTTTACATGCAAACAAAGAGATAATGTGGTATATTTTGTTGTGGTTGAATAAATAAACAAAAAAATTACTATGGATTAATCTATACCTAATCAACCCCCCGTCCATATTTAAGTCAGCCGAAACGTTTTTTTAGTTTTAACAGAAAACCCCTTGACGTTTTGGTTAATCAATCTACAGTTTATGTAAAATAAAATTATTCATATCTTTTAAACCGTAACTTAGATTTTAACATGTTATATATGAAACTTGATTAGAAAAATATGTAGAATCTAAATATGAAGTTATTTTAGCTGTTAAATATTTCTAAAATATAATTTTGATGCAAACTTAATATATAGTGTATGGTCTGTTTTTTTTTGTACCGTCAGTGATTCGAATTGCAAATAAACATCTATTAAAACCAGAGTGAGAGAAAAAACATCTAGAACCATGCATACACAACTATGAAAAACCTTGCGGGAAAACAACAACATACTTTTTATCTTATTCCAAGCGAGTGTGCACATGTGCGCGCGCGCAAAAGAGAGAGACATTAAGACTAACCACATTCAAACGTGTTTTCATTGTGTGAGCACAGAGGTCATTGTCGGCAACACAAATGTGATGCCATGTGAAACTAAAAGACGTGGGCCTATTAATGTCTTGAGTCATGGTTATTGGGTTAAGAGTGTGTGTTATTTTCTTTCCCGTTGCAATGCACGGACTTTTTTTTCGAGCGAGTGTGTGAGTATAGAGGAAATACAAATGTGATGCCATGTGAAACTAAAAGACGCGGGTCTATTAAGGTCTTGAGTCATGGTTATTGGGTTAAGAATGTGTGTTATTTTCTTTCCCATTGCAACGCACGGGTTTTTTTCTAGTAATAATAAAGGGGCTATTGCTTCTGGCAGTACGTCACGGAAATTGCCAGCAAAGTTGCAAAATATTACACACAGGGGATTGCCACCTATAAGTTTCTTTAGGGGTTTGCCACCTATTAGTTTTTTTTAGCAAATGCCACCTATAAGTGATAAACAACATTTCACACAGGGGAATTCCACACATGGGCCGGCCCATGCAGTAGGGACCTCCTATCCTGCGCGTTGGGAGAATACGGAGAGCGCCTGTTTGGGCCGGCCCATGTCCGGGCAGCCTATTTTTTAAATTTCGTTTTTCTTTTTTTTAGTATAAACAATTTGGGACTTCAAAAAAGTTTAGAAAAAATAAAAAAACGAGAATCATAAAATGTTTGTGGATTCAAAAAATGTTCACAGTTTTGTAAAAATAATGTTTGCTTATTCAGATTTTTTTTGAAATTTTGAAAATAAATGTTCAGGAAATAAAAAAATATTCATAATTTTAAAAAAGTTAGTGTATTAAATTTTTTAGTGAAATTGAACAAAATTTCACCAATTCAAAAATTGTTCCACCAATTTTCAAAAAAGTGTTCGTCGATTCAAAAAAATATTTATTTTCCATAATTTTAAAAATAGCAAATATTATAAAATGTTCATGAATTCAAGAAATGTTCTTGATTTTAGAAAATGTTCGATTTTTTAAAAGTGTTCATGAATTTGAATTTTTTCCATGATTTCAAATATGTGCACGAGTTAAAAAAAATGTTCACGATTTCACGAAATTGAGAGTGACAGTGTATTTCGGTGATGCAGCAAGATGTGGTCATGGCCATTGAAGATTATGATTTTTTTTCTCCATTGCAACGCACTGGCCCTTTTGTTAGTAATAATAATATGATGAGTGAAACAATGAAGAACCCATTCAGCCTCTACTGTAGCATATAAATTTGCACAAATTAATCTTACGGGTGATAAATTAGACCGCGACATGTCAATGGGTCAAGGTCGCTAAGGTGTGTTCTTGCCTCAATTGCTGCAGACTCTCAGGCCATTGCGTTAAGCCAAGAGCATCGAGTCGTTCCAGTAATGATCGAGTCACCTGTTGGAATTAAACCCGGCGTCCTGTGTCCTGCACGTATATAAGGGCCCGTACGATGATGCTATCTTACGAGTGCCATGTAGGATAAATGCTGATGTGGAGGAGAGAGAAATCATAAGAAAAGTCTTGTCTTTTCTTATGTAAGAGATGATCTCTTAGCATCATGTTTTTAGAAATAACTAGTTATTGAAGATAAGGCTAAGAAGATGTTTCTTTTTTGTCATTGTACTTGCCCTAGTATTGTTGTTGTACTCAAAAGCTTGTAGTCCTTGGTCCTTGACACGGATAGACACACCTGCAGTCGGCGGCCGCCGGTAGACGGCGAGGAAAAAGAAATGCCTGAAGAAGCTGAGGCGCACACGCACGTACGCGTCTTGGCAGCACCCGCGCGCGTACGGTTTGCTTAGCCATGCCGCACACGCCTTCTCCTCTTGCGCACTAAGCATCCCACAAGAAACTTCCAGCACAAGGCGCGAAGGATGACAAAGCTAATTTGATGCCGCTCTAAGTTTTTGCGCGCGAACGATCAGCTCGACGACGACAAGAACGATCCAGCGGCAAGAGATTGCACCGCGTTCTTTTTCGCCTACATATACCCAGAACCAGCCCCGCTAGAACCGCTCCTCCCGCACGTCAACGTCTTCGTCTCTTTGATATATCCCGGAAGGAATCCGCCGTCGTTTCGTCAGTGCGGTTACCGTCGGACACCGTCTTCCTCAACACCCACGGACCTTCTCACCCCCCTCTCCGCCATGGCCGACTACAACCGCTACGGCCACGGCCACGACCAAGGATACGGCCAGGGCTACGGCTACGCGCCGTCGGCGCCTCCCGCGCCCACCTCCTCGCCGTACGGCAACGGCCAAGGATACAGCCAGGGCTACGTGGCCTCGGCGCCTCCCGCGCCCACGCCTTCCTCCTCCTCCTCCTCGCCGTACGGCTACGGCTACGGCCAAGGAGGCTACCCGCCGCCGATGGGGGGTTCCGGGGGAGCCGTGGCGTTCCCGCCGGGGACGCATCCGGACGTGGAGCGCGCGTTCCGGGCCGTCGACCGCGACGGCAGCGGCAGCATCGACGAGGGGGAGCTGCAGGCCGCGCTGTCCGACGCGCACCACCGCTTCAGCATCCGCACCGTCCGCCTCCTCATCTTCCTCTTCAGCAACGCCCAGCTCGCCTCCTCCCCGCGCTCCCGGATGGGTAAGCAGAGCACACGCCTATGCAGCTATGCTCCATCAAACATCCACGACAAAATCTGCATCACTTCCGGCACTGTTTCAGTAAAAGAACAAGTACTGATTTCTTGCTGCCTCCGAACGATGTTTGTTGCAGGGCCAACGGAGTTCGTGACGCTATGGAACTGCCTCGGGCAATGGCGGGTGAGTGCTACTATCAATTTGCTTGCCATCGTTTAACTTTGAATGGTGAAAGTATGTACGATCGTGAAACAGAGTGTGCACATTCTGTTTCTGTTGCTCTCTGTTTGCTCTCTGCATATCTTCACATTGCTTGCAGTTCGACCACCAAATTATAAATAAATATCATCGACCTCGTCTTCGTTGCATAGAAATCTTCTGAATACTGCAAGTGTACTTTTTTTTATCAAATGAGAGTGGAGACCCTGTTTCTCTGCAAGAAACAGCTGTTTATCCAATCATGTTATGAACTTATGATGCTCTCATGGAATTATTGCCCATCTAATACTGCAACTTAATCTGTCATGAGGGAAGTCAAATCAAAATGAAAAATAAAATAATATTTGTCAACCTCTGTCGATGATCTGCTATTTTTCCCCATCCATCTATCATCAACATGGGACTTATTTCTGTTCTTCATGGTGCTATCTAGGTCGTTTTCGACAGATACGATAGGGACCGCAGCGGAAAGATCGATTCCGATGAGTTGAGAGAAGCTCTTCGCAGCCTGGGATACGCGGTGCCGCCTTCGGTCATTGATCTTCTCATAGCAAACTACAACAATGGCGTTTCCCACCGCGGCGCCCTAGACTTCGACAACTTTGTGGAGTAAGCATATGGAGTCCTAACTTTATTTGACATACAAAATAATCTCATATATTCAGCCAATGCTCTAAACATATATATGGAACTAATTAATGTTTTGTTTTGCCTTTCGGTTTCGATCTTGAAGGTGCGGAATGGTTGTGAAGGTACGTCACCGATACCGATCAATCAACCACTTAATCGAAGTTTCAAATGTTTGCTGATAGATTTTTCGCTGCTGTGTTGTTCTGTGTAGGGTCTGACTGAAAAATTCAAGGAGAATGACACGCGCTACACCGGCTCGGCAGCTCTTACATATGACGGCTTCTTGTCAATGGTCATCCCCTTCATTGTACCTTAGTCAAAGCAGTACATGTACGACCTGAGCTTTAAGTTTGTGGGATTTATTACAGTTCCGTTAATTTGGAGTGTTTTGATGTTTCATAGCTGTGTAAATGAGAAAAAGGGTGTCACTAGATCTCAGTCGACTCAGAGTCTGGTGACACAACATGTAAAAAGAAAGAAATATTTTTTTTTTGCACGGATCTTCACGTATGGTCTCATGAATATAGCATCGACTAAGACTTCGTAAGTTTCGGTCGACTGAGATTTAACAATCCCGTAAGAAAACGTCAAAGGGCTACGGTAATTTTACCCAGCCTTGCTGGAGAGGGTGGCAAGCAAACGCCATTTAATGATATATGTTGTGAAGAAAAATCAAACGACGACAGTTTTTAAACGAAAAATGTATTCTCTGAACAAACCGCCATGTCGAACTGCCACCCCTTAAAACTAAAATGCCATCCTCCCTATCGAACATTTGGCCGGGGGTCCAAAGGTTAAAAGCTGAAATCGGCCCGCTGATACGCATCGTGTGCCGGTCACCACACAAGGTCCGCATGTGCCCCTACGGGGCCCACATGAAAGCCGATTGCTTTTGTCCAATCATTCATCATGACTGCAATATTCCTCGTCTTTTTAACATATATAGTACAGACGCATACGCTTATACGTACACATATATATTCATCTTTATGAATGAACGCACACACATCCTATCTCTATGAGCATCTTTGAGAGACTGAAGGGCTATTTGGTTCCAGAGACTTTTTTGTGTTGAGACTAAAAAAAGTCCCTAGCAAATCAAACAGGATAGGACTTCTTTGGGACTTTGTGCTAAAAGTCCTTAGAAGCACGTCCTTAAGAGTCTTTTTCAAAAAGTCCTAGGGACTAGAAAAAAATCCTAGAACTAGAGAACCAAACACCACCTGAATCGACACATTATTTTGAGATTGATGAAGTCATCACATACGCCTTTGTAGTTCACGGGAATGTATTCTTCCAATGCACATCGCCGAAAGTCTCAAATAAATCAAGAAAAATGCAAGCACTAATGTCAAGTCTAGAATTTAAACTCTGATGAGCTCAGATACCACTATCCTCCTAACCATCCAACCACACATTGATTCACCCTCATCTCCTTATTGTTATTCTCCTCTCTCATGTCACTCACCCCATAGCCGCACGCTGCACCGCATGGCACCAGACCACCTGCAATTTCAAGCCACCACTGCTAGCCACAGCAAGGGCTGATGGCCACGGCGGACGCCGTCAGGCTACTCAAGGGGTCCACCATAATTCCTCTAATCCTATAAACCTAAAAGATCTCCTCTGACTTACTTATCTTAATATGCAAGCATGTCACCTCATCATACAATTATGAATTGAATAAGGCCCATCTTACCATGCAATTATGCATAGGAAAAGACCCACCACAACATTCAACCATACATGGGAAGTGTTTTCCGTTCAGAGTTATTCTACTTATATTCAATAAATATTCTTATAACTATACGTAATCAAATAATAATTCATATCTATTTTTAATTTTGGTTCTCATATTATCAATCCAAAATTTTATCAACCAACTTTTTCAGCAATGCGCGGAGCCTCTAGTATAATAAAAATAATACACCAACTCTAAGTTGATGTTGCGTATTTACTTTTTTTCTGAATACGTATAAGTTTTGTGCACTTCTGCATTAATAGTATGGAGCGTTCCAAATTTTTTGTGTCCTTACTAAGAGTTTTTGACTCTCAACATCCTTGGCACTAGTTAATTAGGTAAAAGAGTTTCTAGCATTTGAGAGCAAGACGCGACCAGGAGGCGGCTACTCTTTCTCCCGACCCGCTGCACCATCACAAGTTCCTTTGCCCTCTGCCGGCTGCTATTGTAGCGGCGAGAGGTAGGTGACTCCTAGTTTTGTGTTCTTGGCTCGTGTCTCGTAGGGTGTTTCGAGTTCTTTGCCACATGTGAATTTGGGTTGGCGATAGGAATAATTGTTCTTTCATTTTTTCCATGTTGATGGTCGTACATGAAGGGGAGATGATAAATCATAGGATGGTGTCGATTGTCGAGCATACAACCTGTCATGATTAATGCTTGTCCACAACAGCGGCATCCTGTGGAGGGGACATCATTTTGAAATATTTTTCTTCTCAAGTTTTTTTTTTCATGAAGCTCAGCACATTACGACACTCGAGGGGAACTTGCGAGGGTTGTGTTCCCCTTCTGTCTATTGGGAGTTGAGATTATTGTTTTTACCTTCCCATACTAGCTTCTATGGGACGACAATCTTTCCAGATCATGGTCTCCTGCGTCGTCTAGTCTACATCGGGACTTCCCGGCCGTTGGTTTCAACAAGGTTGCTCCGGTAATGCAGAGGGTCAGAGGCAGCAATGAACTCTACTCATGGGGCCTGCGGTGTATGTAGAAGGAAGTCGACGTGATTTCTTCAAGGACTTGCGTGCAATGTATATTCTTGTATGGAAGTCCTTTTAAGATTGGTTTTACTTAATATGCCCAGGGTCTTGTATGGAAAAAATATATCATGGTTGGTGGTACTGGAAAAAATCGTGGTAGGTTGTACTAGAAAAATAGCTAATGCATCCATTTCAAATTTGTGTCCCTTTCGCTCCTATACTTAGAGAAACTTCAGCAAATGCACCATATCCTAAGACTCTAATAATATCAGAACTGAAGAGGTAAAATGTGGCATTTTCAAAGTGAGGGTCAAACCTTTGGTAAGATCACAACCTGGAGTCCGCTGTTAGTTTCTGGCTTCTACTGCTTCTAGTGTTATATCTAATAGACGGATCCCGTCATAGAGAGGTAAAAGTCACTTCTTCACATAAAGACCTTCTAACTCTCCACTTTCGTCTTACAATTGTTCATTACCTACAAATAAATCCGATGCTTCTTGATGAAGCTTTGTCAACTGCTCATAGATCTTCCCAGATGCCTCCAACACCTAGTCATGCCCGAGTTGACTTTCCATTCAGTTTTGACTATTGAGCAATCCTACATTTCATATGAACCCAAAGATAGGATATCCTTGCTACCAACAAACCAAACTCAACCAAATGTTTCAAGAGTCCGGACCACCCCAAACAAAACACCGATGCTTAACAAAACCTAGAGGCCGAGTAAACAAGTGACCAAATCAAATCCTAAGCTATGAGACTGATTGAAACGCTTAGGAAACACACACCATAATAGTATCATACCAATTTTTTTTGCTATGTACCACGTATTGAGATGTTTAGATTGTCATACGATAGTCATGGTGGAAAGGGAGGGTGCTTTGGTTGTGGTGTCCGTGCATGAGTGCGTGGATGTGTGTTCTTAGTAAAGGGAGCACATGCGCCTTTCAGAGGCTGGAGACATGGGAACTTAAATCCTCATGGCGGTGCCGATTGGTTGTGATTTGGCTTTATTTGGCACAATCTAGAGCATTCATGCTCTGTTTTCTCTATCGCCTGCATCTTTAGTGAGAGGGCCATTTGGCATATGAAAACCTCATGGAATATCTTTTTCTAGGTCTTATATTTGTACAATAGTTGATGGAGTATTGCATGGTAGAGGACTAGAGGTGATCCATAGGTGGTCCTCCATGTGTTTTGGCCCCTCACAACTTAAAGCGGGTTGAAGGATACCATACTCATAGCTTTGCACACGTGGTACCCATTTGAACACATAAACAGCTAATTCAGAAATATTTAAAAACATCATGGACAGTAAAATCTTTTTTAGTTAACTATTGGAAATTATTTCCAAACTTTTTCAAAACTATTAGGGTTCAAGATATTTTCCTTTTGTAAAATTCACTCCCAGAGTGCTCACGCCTAGGCCACCTAATTGAAAACAGAGCCATGTGCATTTACATTTTGTTTGCAAACACACATTAGAATTGTTTACCTTTACACAGTTGCATGGATAATATGCGAGGGTTCAAAAATTTGGTTGTCACTGGTATGATTTTCAAATGCAACACTCATGGCACAAAAAATTAGCACATGCCCATATGGTTGTGTATGACCTTTACATCATGCATTGAGTCTCATGAAAAAACAATTTCCTCTCACCCATAGTCACTCTTTTCAGCATGCTCCGTGTCAATGCTAGAGAACGAATTCATTGAGCTGTAGGATTTTTAGCTCCCCGGCTCTGCAATCCATGGATAGTGTATGTTTTAGGTCATCCACGGTGACGGGTGCCATTAGCACTTTGCTGGCAGGAATTTGCTCAAGTTCTTGTGTTTGAAAAGTACAATTCATCTGATTGGTGATTATTATTCAATTGAAGGGATGGACAAAAAATAGGGATGGAGAAATATAAGGCCGCATTCATCATCTGATCTAATCAATCTGCCGATGCTAGTTGCCCGAACTCTGAACTGAACAAGTCGCCTCCAGTGTGTGTGTGTGTGTGGGTACCTGTGTACCTAGTTCTGTGACAAACCTTGCAATTCAGACACCAAACTACCAGCCATGGGACGCGCACAGATTTTGCCTTTTATTTGTGTGGTGCTTTGCCATCGCGTCATATCTTCCTCCCCGAGCCATATCTTCCTCCCCGATTGTTGCCATCGCGTCCACCCCCGACCATCTTGACAATTGAGGCGAAAGGGATCTTGCCGGATTTTCTTGCCCAGAAATCTCTGGAGAAGGAGAAATGTTTCGGGGCAATCAGGCGGTCCGAATTTCCAACCGGGTGGCAATCGGCAGCAGAGAAGTCTCCTGAGATGAATTTATCTCTCCGGACCCAGACCAAATTGGATCTGCTCTGGGCTGGACGAACCCTAGGGTGCCCCCGTCCCGGACCCTGAAGCAGATCTGGGGGGGAGGCGCCTTTTGAGGAGGCGCAACCACTTTCCTCGCAAAA